TTTTGTTTTTAATTATTTTTCATTTCCCCCTTTTTTTTATTAATACATTCATAAACCCGCTCAGAGAGGAACCAGGGGAAACCCTAAACATGTTAAAACAAAAATTGTAGATGCGCGCCTCACACTCAAACCTAAATTCTTCCCCGCCCCCACCACCACTCAGTAGATGCACGCTCACTCTCAACCCTAAAACATTCTCAAACCTAAAGCGCTCACTTCGCTGCTCCACGGCGCCAAGGTCACGGTAAAAGCCATGGAGCCCAGTATCGTGCGCGAGATTGACGCCATGCGCCGCCTCCAGCACCACCCTAACATCGTGGACTTCGCCGGCGGCGGTGAGCTCTTCTCCAAGCTATCCCGAGGCTGCCTCCCAAAGTCCCTCGTGCACCGCTACTTCACGCAGCTCGTCTCCGCGCTCTGCTTCTGTCGTCGAGAAGAAGGTGAAGGAGGTTGGATTGAATTTGGGATTTAGGGTTGAGGTTGGGAAGCTTCTCCAGACTCCACCTCTGCGCTTCGCCTTTAGGGTTGAACAAGTTTATTTGAAGTTGTTGATCGACGAGCGAAGGCTGTTGCTGAGGAGCAGTCTGATTTTAAGACTCCAGGTTTAGATTTTAGCTTTTTTTTTTTTTTGGGTTCACTCTCTAGTTTGCCTTCAATTCATGCTAAATATTTTATATGGAATTAGACTTGGGTTATTGCTGCAGAGTTGTGTTGCCAATTTAAACCTGAACTTTCAATTCTTATTGGCTCTCTCAATTTTTTGCTTGATATTGAGACCAGTTCGGTTTAAAACATTAAATGTTTGTTTGGTTCAGCTTATTTTGAAGAAATAATTGTTTATTTTTCATCGCTTATTTTTGTTTGTTTCCTTAGAGAGATTTTGAAATATAAGGAATTATTTCCACAAAATTAATCTATATGAAACATGCACCAAGGGAAACATTTTATAAAGTCAGGAGAATGGAAGCCCAATTTAATGCTTCAACTGTGAAGTTGTAAGAGGTAGAATTAGAGTGTTCTTAGGAATTGACCATACCTTTCATGCAGTAAGATAAACTTTTGTTTCTAATGTGGATCAAGAGAAATCTGAATCTGTGGCTGCTGACACAGTTCCTAATAATGACACTATTCTCAGAGACTCTAATGTAAAAGATGATTCTAATGTGAACAGAGAAAACCAGGAGGATCATAAAACTGACAACTCCCCCAAAAAAGTACAGGATCAACTTGAGGAGGTAATACTTATAATTGGGAAGTTTATACGTTCTTACTTATACAAATCTTTATTAAAAAAATTCTTCTGACTAATTTTTTTAGTTGGTACATAGGCTCAAGGATTGCTAAAAACAACAAAATCTACTTGTCAGTCTAAAGAAGCAAGGTTAGCTCGGGTAAGAATGTGGGTTAAACCAACATTTCTGGTGGTTGACATCTCCATAAGATTCAAATAGAGTGTCTTTCTAATTGCTTATTATAGATGCCTGATGGATATTTTCTAATAATGTTCAGGTTTGTGCTGGATTATCATCCCGCCTTCAAGAATACAAATCTGAAAATGCACAGTTGGAGGAACTTCTTGTTGCAGAGGTGAAACATTATCACTATCTCCTGTTCAAAGGAATAAAAGGTCTCATCATATGCTTGAAATAGAAACATATTGACTATTGTATCAATTAATTATTTCTAAATCTATAGAGAGCTGAGTAAATCATACGAGGCTAGCATAAAACAGCTACAGAATGATTTGTCTGAAGGTAAAAGGGAGGTGACAAGAGTTGAATCAAATATGGTTGAGGCCTTGGCAGCAAAAAATGCTGAAATTGAGGCACTGCTAAGTTTTATGGAAGCGGTTAAGAGGCAGGCTGCATTGTCAGAAGGAAGTCTAGCTTCCATGCAGGTTCCTCTTAGTTAATTTATTGAAGCGTGCCCTACAGTATTTTATTTGCTTCCATGCAACTTCTGTTTCTACCTAAACTATTTTTGGTGCTTTTTTTTTTTTTTGGGTTCACTCTCTAGTTTGCCTTCAATTCATGCTAAATATTTTATATGGAATTAGACTTGGGTTATTGCTGCAGAGTTGTGTTGCCAATTTAAACCTGAACTTCCAATTCTTATTGGCTCTCTCAATTTTTTGCTTGAGATTGAGACCAGTTCGGTTTAAAACATTAAATGTTTGTTTGGTTCAGCTTATTTTGAAGAAATAATTGTTTATTTTTCATCGCTTATTTTTGTTAGTTTCCTTAGAGAGATTTTGAAATATAAGGAATTATTTCCACAAAATTAATCTATATGAAACATGCACCAAGGGAAACATTTTATAAAGTCAGGAGAATGGAAGCCCAATTTAATGCTTCAACTGTGAAGTTGTAAGAGGTAGAATTAGAGTGTTCTTAGGAATTGACCATACCTTTCATGCAGTAAGATAAACTTTTGTTTCTAATGTGGATCAAGAGAAATCTGAATCTGTGGCTGCTGACACAGTTCCTAATAATGACACTATTCTCAGAGACTCTAATGTAAAAGATGATTCTAATGTGAACAGAGAAAACCAGGAGGATCATAAAACTGACAACTCCCCCAAAAAAGTACAGGATCAACTTGAGGAGGTAATACTTATAATTGGGAAGTTTATACGTTCTTACTTATACAAATCTTTATTAAAAAAATTCTTCTGACTAATTTTTTTAGTTGGTACATAGGCTCAAGGATTGCTAAAAACAACAAAATCTACTTGTCAGTCTAAAGAAGCAAGGTTAGCTCGGGTAAGAATGTGGGTTAAACCAACATTTCTGGTGGTTGACATCTCCATAAGATTCAAATAGAGTGTCTTTCTAATTGCTTATTATAGATGCCTGATGGATATTTTCTAATAATGTTCAGGTTTGTGCTGGATTATCATCCCGCCTTCAAGAATACAAATCTGAAAATGCACAGTTGGAGGAACTTCTTGTTGCAGAGGTGAAACATTATCACTATCTCCTGTTCAAAGGAATAAAAGGTCTCATCATATGCTTGAAATAGAAACATATTGACTATTGTATCAATTAATTATTTCTAAATCTATAGAGAGCTGAGTAAATCATACGAGGCTAGCATAAAACAGCTACAGAATGATTTGTCTGAAGGTAAAAGGGAGGTGACAAGAGTTGAATCAAATATGGTTGAGGCCTTGGCAGCAAAAAATGCTGAAATTGAGGCACTGCTAAGTTTTATGGAAGCGGTTAAGAGGCAGGCTGCATTGTCAGAAGGAAGTCTAGCTTCCATGCAGGTTCCTCTTAGTTAATTTATTGAAGCGTGCCCTACAGTATTTTATTTGCTTCCATGCAACTTCTGTTTCTACCTAAACTATTTTTGGTGCAATTTGCTTTGATCTTGTGGAAGGCTTTTTTTTAAAATGAATAATGAACAAGTTGGACTTGCTTTGATGTTGGCATCTATTAGAGAAGTCACTTTATGTTTAGCATGCACATTTACATTTATATTACGTTGTCATTTCATTATAATTTCCTTTACATTTCTTCTGTTAGAGTTAGTTAGCTTGTCAGTTAGTTTGTTAGCTTCTGACTTAGCAATGAGTCGTACAGTTCAGCTATAAGGTTGCCCTCTCTGTACATTTTCTTCTATGAAAAATTTACAGTTCAGTGTATCTCTGTTCAGATTTCTCACTCTCTAATTCTCTGATAGTCTGATTCTATTAGCAAATA